AAATTCAAAACAAAGCGAGTGTAATCGGAAAAGTGTCACACAGTTCCAAACTGCGTGACCCACCCGTAGGTCACGCTGTCGACAAGTGTTAAATCATCTTTTTACGAGTGAGGAACAGCTGAATTCTTGATGACTGCCTTCTAAACAGTGCCCGAAACATATCTCTGAACTAGAAGAACGATGCAAATTCCAAAACAGTTTATTTTAATTACTGTGAATTGCCAAAGTGGAATTAATCAGTGTCCTTTCTATGAAATGCCAACAGAAAATTATAAGAAGCACAAGAGAAACATTATACTAGCCCTGGTAAAAAAGTAAAAAATGTCAATGCTACTAAAGTAAAGGAAGCAGGCAGCTAGAAATAAGAAGTTCTTGTGGAGATTTTTGAGCACACGGACAAGAATATAGTTGACAAAATATACGATGATAAAATTGGAGAAAAGATGCTTCCTAAATACGAAGTTTTTAGTGGGATGAAAAGATTTCAAAAACCATTTAGTTGTCATTGGCCAATAAATTTGGAATTAAGTGCGTCGCAATAGCTCGTAGCTTTCTGAAGTACGGTTGATTTGACGTGCTTTTACACAAATCCGGTACTGTACTTCCTGGCAAAGTGTGCGATTTGCGAATCAATACCGCTGCTGCAGTCGTCAACGACGTTGCACTAGTCGATTTCACATCGATCATCTGCGCACTACGATAGTTTGAAATAGCAGCTGTACGGCGTAGTTTACTCTTTAGCTTTTCTTTTTCATCCGGGAACATTAGTAGGAACTGAGCATCGTCGCAAATTTAGTTGCTTGCTGACTCATCCTTGACATTTTAATATTCGTTGCAATGTTGTTCCATTCATTGTTGTTGCAATTTGAATTGTGCTCTTTTTTGGGAGGAGAATGACAACTGAGGCAACCATTCCTGACAGTGAAAAAGTGCGTATCGTTTCGGATTTTCTTCAACATGCTCCACCCGGTGAATTCAACGAGGTACGGGTGTTTACTTGCATACATGTTCTTTATCATGGTAACAATCATCCGATCTGTTGTGAAATTCACTTATAGGTCTTCAATGCTGTGCGTATGCTGCTTAATAATGACCAGTTGTTGAAAGAGGGTTGCGCACAAGCTATTACGAAATACAACGAGAGTCAATTTGTACCAGTAAAACTAGAAGGAGTTGAGAAACAGGTAAATTTTCTTGCTCTGCTCTGTTCAATTATTTGTGAGCTGTTTAGTCCATAGATGGGAATTCTAACCGTTCTGTGAAATTTTCTATTTAAGAAAGTACCTTCATCTTGTTCCCATAGCATAATCTGAATTTTTCTATTTTATTTCTCCAAAAACTAGATCTTTTCTATGCTTAACTTGAAGCATTTTGAAGACATATGTGTTTTCATAGCCCAAAAGGACTGAGAGTTGTCATTGCGCAAGCGAATAACCCCTAATCGTTAACATTATCGGCATCAGTTTCACCTTCGCAAAAAGGGGGCAAGATTGAGATGCAAGGAGTGGAAGTCATGCCTAATCTGTCAATGCGCATTCCTACTGTTTCCTTAGAGGGGACTGAGCGCAATGGTATGCCTTTTTCGAAGTAGCGGGATGTTAGCCTTGCATGCACTCCAGTTGGTCTTTTTGGATTCATCTGTGTTTTACTAGCTATTCGAATCTCTCTTATAGCTTTGATTTTTGTGTCGTAAATTGTTTTAGAGCCTGCTGCTTCATATTCATCTCACTGTATTTTACAGATGTGCAACGTTTTCCCTTTTATTTTGTCATTTTCATATTTTGATTCTGTTCAAGAGCCGAACTGAGCTTGAAGCGCCAATAGATTTCAAAAAAATTTCATTCGAGAAGTAAATTTGCAAATAAGTCTCGATCGAAAGTTACACTTCATTTGAAGAAACACATGTTATAACTTCAACTTACAATTCCAGACCTTGGTAACACCTTTCAACGACATTGGCGGCGGGCGCTATGTCGACGATGCCTCGAAGAAGTCTTTCAAATATGATCACCTTCGAAAAGAAGCAAGCGATATTCAATCAAATCCTGCAGAATCGGGTAACACCGACTCATGGCGTGCAGCCTTACAAAAGGTAATTCATAAGAAAATCTTAGGACTAGTGGTCGGTCCGGTACATCCATTACTTTTTTCTTTAAGGAATTGGACGCATATATCGACGACCATTACACTAAGTCTGGAGTCGGATGTGTTTTTGTTCGTCATGGCAATTTCACATTGTGCATAGAATCACATCAATTTCAACCAAAGAATTTTTGGTTTGTTATTCATCTTCTTTCATTTTTGGTTTTTTGGTTTTCTCATTACCATCACATATCTCCAGCAATGGGCGCTGGCGATCAGAATGGAAGGTACCCGTTGGAGATGGCAAGACTGGTAGCCAGGAGTTGGTTGGAAAGATTAAAGTGCAGGTGAAATACTTTGGATACCGTTATAGTCACAAATATTCCCTTATTGTCTCGTTTTTAGGTGCATTATTACGAAGACGGTAATGTGCAATTGTTTTCTGAGAAAGACGTTAATGTTAAAATACAAGTGACTGTAAGCTTTCCTTAGATCTTTAAGTTTCGCTTTTTAATTTATTGGTGCTGAAATTCAGAGCGATCTCGAAAAGACAGCCAAGGAAATCGTGTCCGCGATTCGTGATGAGGAGGGTAAATATCAGGTTAGCGCAATTTTCCTGTTACTTTTTCTCTTTCTCTTCTCCTCTTTCTTTGTTTTCGCTAAATCTCACCTTTTTTAGTTAAGCTCGCATCTATGTAGAAGTGATAGTATGTTCTTTTGAGATAATAAACACGAAGTCTCTTTAAAACTTTGTATCTCTTTATGTCTTTTCTCTTTTTAAAATAGTAACAATGCAAAATTGCAATTTGTCCTAAACTCTTACCAAACTCCTTTTATGACATGCTTTTGTTTTCTTTGATCGCTCTAATAATTCTAGCTTTTGAATAGTTTGAGATGAATGTTTCATCGTTGAATCATTTTTTTT